CACACACACACACGATGCGCAAAACTCCGCATTTGAACAGTCAATAGCAAATACTTAAACTAATAACAAGACATACTTACAGTAGCTGATTCAGAAGTGCCAGATTGTCATAGCAAAGTCTGAATTACCTCCTCTTCTAGGTTCACGAAACGGTCGTCCATAAAATGCTTTGCTGTTCTGTTGTAAGTAATCTTAAAGATTCCTAAATGCATCTACTTTCGGAAGGCCAAATAAAGTGCTTTTGCTTTCGCCTAGAAACACACAGCATCTCCCTGACATGGCTGCTTCAACACTAACTGCGGTTACTGAAACCACGCCTTCTTTCTTTGCATGCACATTTGGGCAGCATTATGCAAATATTTCCACATAGTGAGGTAGATATGTGGGGGCGTGTTAGAACGAGCTGTTTTAGGGGGGTGTGGCAGTGTCTTTGATAAAGTATATCTCTGGTTTTGAGACCTTAGTCTTTGCAACTTCAGGGATCTTATCTATGCACAATCAGCTTGTAACACTCCAAAGAGAAAGGAAAACTTGAAATCGCATCATATGACCCCTTTAACTGAAGATTCTTTATGTTTTACTTGTTATGCATTTTAAGTGCACAGTGTCACTAATTTACATCACTAGCCTTTTAGTTAGATTGATTGATTTCATGCAGGTTTCCCACAGTCATTGAAAACCATCTGGAAATATCAATCAATTTTAATAATGTTTTTCCCATTCAATTGATAAAATCTGGAAATGTCTTTGAATATGCTTTTCAAGTTAAGCACAGTTCTAAAATATCTTAGTATTTCAATATTTTATAATATCTATAAAATATTTAAAAGGTCTTATTTAGATATTAAGTAATATTTCTTTAAAAAACACAAGGGTTTCAGTGTACATGAAAGCAAATATCAGGAAGTTTTGTTTTCCAGGTGTGGAAAAATGATGATTAATAATAATGATAATAATAATAATAGTCATACATTCTTTAAGAAATACTGATTTTTCTAAAAATAAATAAATAATTCTCTTGTAAGGTGAAACGTTTTTGCAAGCCAAAGTGATGTATTATTTGTTTAAATGATTTTTTTTTTTTTGAATGAATAAAACTGATTCACACGTTGTTCTAAATGTCTTTGAATATGCTTTTCAAGTTAAGCACAGTTCTAAAATATCTTAGTATTTCAATATTTTATAATATCTATAAAATATTTAAAAGGTCTTATTTAGATATTAAGTAATATTTCTTTAAAAAACACAAGGGTTTCAGTGTACATGAAAGCAAATATCAGGAAGTTTTGTTTTCCAGGTGTGGAAAAATGATGATTAATAATAATGATAATAATAATAATAGTCATACATTCTTTAAGAAATACTGATTTTTCTAAAAATAAATAAATAATTCTCTTGTAAGGTGAAACGTTTTTGCAAGCCAAAGTGATGTATTATTTGTTTAAATGATTTTTTTTTTGTTTGAATGAATCAAACTGATTCACACGTTGTTCTAAATTATTCCTTAGCTATTCATTCTGAATTTGAATGCTTTTGAAAAATCCTTACCCAGTAATTTGCAAGCAACTGGAAAGGTCATGGAAATTAATTGCTTTTGAATGAATCAAACTGATTCACACGTTGTTCTAAATTATTCCTTAGCTATTCATTCTGAATTTGAATGCTTTTGAAAAATCCTTAACCAGTAATTTGCAAGCAACTGGAAAGGTCATGGAAATTAATTGCTTATGAAGTGTTGGAACCCTGGCATGTTTTCATCATTTTGGCTGGTTCTGTTTCTTTATTTTCTCACCTTACATGTGTTAGGGCGGTGTAAATGTGTGAATCGGAGAGTTATTTAGTCAGCAGGGCGGTTCGAATGAGATCTGGGAGGAGAGGAGAAAGAATTTGGGAGATGATATGACTCTGTCATTCACAGGATTACTAGAGAATGATGAAGTCTCCATCACATGAACCCACAGGTTCTTTTAGGCGACTCGAGGACTCAGCTGTGATATTGCGCCGCCGCAGAGTGTCCCTAGTGCAGATCGTGTTTGAGAGTGGACGTTCTTTCATTATATTTCTCTTTGTGTATTCTGCATGCTCTTGCAAGCTTTTTAATATCCTGCTCACCTCTGTCTGTTACAGAAGGAGCCCAGCAGTGATGTTAACAGCAGTAGCCCACGTTTGTCCCCGCCGCCCAAGCGGACACGCAGACAGACGCCACCAAGTTCTACCGATACTTCTCCAAGTCCCCAGAGTAAAGGCCAGAGAGGCTCATGGACCATGTCCAAACACTGTACTAGGTGAGGTCTGACAATCTATGTAGAGTTGCACGAGTAGTATGTATTTTGTGTGGTATTTTAATGATCCCGTCCCATTATTAAAAAAAAAAATGCTGTACAAAAAAGTCTCTTGTTTACATCATGTCTAGGTTTAGTTGATTATAATGACAGGGTCTTAGTTTTGTGTTGCTTGCAATGTATATAGGTTTTTACACCATCTGCATGGCAAGCGAGCACCGTAATTATTGCCAGTAATTTTGCTTTGGTTCAGAAGCTTCTTTTTTTTTTTTTTGAGTCAGGTGATGTTTCTTCAGCACTCGAAGATAATGTTATAGTGATAGTCTGCAGTGTGCATAAGGCTGACTAATAAGACTAATATAAAGGCCTCTGATTGGCCATTGCATTCATGCACTCAACATATACATATGATTGGCTGTAAAAAATGTTCCATTTACAATGTGTTTTATGCAACAGTTGAGCAACTGTTGCAAAAAACACATTGTAAATGGAACATTTTTGAGACCGAAACAGAAGTAGATCTAATTGAAATGATTCTCACGATTAATTAATCACGGAAGCCATAATGCTAAAACTTTTTTTTTTTATTGTGCAGCCTTGGATCCATTTGCCAACTGTTCTGCATAATCTTAATACTTGAAACTTCACAGTTCAGATTGAATTTGTACATTTTCAGTGTTGTGGGAAATTTTTCTAGATTCAGAGAAAATACGTTAAATGTTTGTTTCTCTTATTTATGTGCTAAAAGACGTATTGTTATTTGTTGTGAGCTATTTCTCATGGATATCCACATCGTCTTCCAGGTTGTCCACTGGTGCCTTGCAGAATGGACACAGTAAGTGTATATTATTAATTTTGATTTACTTAATGATTCTTTATTAAGCACTTACAAGGAAGAGTTCACCCAAAAATGACAATATACTGATACACATCAGATTTCTTTTCCCATCTGTTTATGTTAACTTAAGACAACGAAAGAGAACTTAATTTGGTACTGTAAGGATTGACACTTTATATCTGTAACCCTCAAATCAAATATGCTGCCATTTTTAAGCTTTATTTTTATTTATTTTTTAAACATGAAATCAACAGAACTCGATAGAATGGTCATTTGGTCACCTATGCATCCATACATAAGTTATTGATGGAAATATATGTCGGATAATGTGAATTAACAACAAGTTGTAAACACAATCAATTTTCCCAGTATTGCTAATCTTGATCCATCCATAGATTTAATGGAAATAATCATTCACTCGTGTTTTGGACATTGGTCACAATATCCATCCAGTCAGTATCTTTAATAGATGCTTCAAATATGCTGCCTTTAGAAAATTCAGAAAATCAGGTTTGATGTCATGATGATGTTATAGTTCCTCAGGTGATGATTTATGTAACCCATAGGTCGAATGAGTCTGAGGGGTGATTCCACATCAGATGGGGTCCACGGTCGCATGAACGGTCATGTTGAGCTCAAGAGAAGCCGTCGTGTCAGGAAGTCCCAGTTCGAACACCTCAATCAGAGTTTACTTTTTGACCAACTTGTCAACAGGTAAAAGCTAATGGTTGTTTACGTAGCTAATTCATGCCTGATGTATGGTGGTAGCTGTCTCGAACTAAGAGTACTGTACATTTTCAAACTCAAATCATTCTAGAAAGACCATTTAATGCTACTAAACTTCTGAAAAGCTTGTTCAGAAACTTTGCTTTCTTTCCTAATGATGACAGACTGATGAATACATGAACACATGATTAACCACATTTATACGTCTAAACGGCCATTCATTGTTGGCCCAACCAGTCAGCAAATCATTAGGCAAATGATTTAACTCCTGGTTGCCTGAGAGAGTCTGTCTATAAACATTTTGAGCATCAAATGCCTTTGGCTACAAACCAACTAGCTTTCTACCCCATAAATCCACTAGGAGCTCACAGTATCAAAATCATGTTCTGTTTGGACATTGTGTGCATACGTTGTAATTCCCTCATGGTTTTGAGTAGCTGGTGTATAATCTGATGAAGCCAACAAAGTTTACTCTTGTAGAAACAGACACCTTGAGCTCAACAAGAACTAAAAGTGACTACAGGTGGACATGCTATGTGGTGACGGCATTTGTTCCGCTTGCATTCATGCACATAATGGTTTATGATATAATTGGTGGTTCCCAGCCAAGGCTACATGTATCCCAGGGGTGCTTGAGTAGGTTCCGGCTGTACTTGAAAAGATGAAGACCTCGCTTCGTTTAACCTGTAAGTCTTAGTTAACATTTTTACAAATGACTTGTAGCCACTCTTGGGTGATATTTCATACTTGTTGAGCTTCTGTGGTATTTAAATTCCACCATACAAAGACTGCAAATGACTGTACTTGTGTTAAACCTCTCATCTGGAGATCTTTTATACTGCTAATACATTTGCTGTCACGTCTGTCTTAAGGAAAGTTTCTGTGATTATCCCTAAAACTGTCAAAACTTGTGATTGAATGCACATTTGTGGTTTGACGTAGATGAAGACGTATGGTGTGTTTACACTGCTGGAATGTTTCAGTTAATTCCTATGAGAGCCAAGCAACACGCTCACATTGTGGATTGTGGGATTGACAGTGGATTGAAGAAAATGCTGAGAGCATCAAACAGTTAATAAATGCTCAACTTTATGCAAATATCAAGTAGGGGTGTGCGATATTGACAAAAAATTATATCTCAATATTTTCTGGGATTTTATCGATAACGATAATTAGACGATATTTTGCTGAGTGTGTTATTGTGCTGGTACCTTAAGGACTGCCGAAGACAGCTGACTCCTAATGTTTTTAATATTCTTCATATTCTGTGTGGTGGTCAGTTCATACTGATAGAAATTAATCTTTTCCAATAAGTTTAAACTGATTTTTGCATTTTATGGGCATTTTTACCTTTATAAAGCCATTTTTTCTAAAAGTGTCCATTATCTTTTGAGTCAAATTCTTACATTTAATCAGGGAATTAGAATAATAAGACATTTGGGCTGTTACCAAGCAAATTAAATCAACACAGAAGCTGCATCTGAAGTGGCATTTAGATGTATTTACACACATGTATTTTGTTTAATGCAAGACATGAATGCATTTAACCTGCAATTACAAATGCATAAATAATGTTTTGATATATTAAACATAAAACGTTGAATACTGATATTTGAAATGATTTAAAACATGAAAAAAATCAAAAAGAAAAGAAAGAAAAAGCCGAAATTTGAAATTAAAACCGCCAGCAGGTGGCAGCAAATCACTGTTAATAAGTGAGTCATTGCAATTGAACCGAATCATTCAATCATTCAACCAATTCATTCAAGAACGAAACATGTTGCTCAGAGAAACAAAACAGCACTGTGGCTGTATTCCGGATGATTTTTGTTGGCGAAATAGAGCAAAAACAAGCAATATGGTGTCTAAAACGTAAGACTCTTAATTAACATATTGTTTATTGAATTCAATGTCACATTTGTAATCAGAAAAACGGCACTCTTCGTGTGAAATTGAATAACTATATGAAGTGGTATAAATATATAAATTTTCTGCCATCATGTCTTGAATTTGTGATCATTATAAATGCATTTTAATAGACTGAATCATGCAGTGAAAGAATTATTTTTATTGACAAAAAATTATATCTCGATATTTTATGGGATTTTATCGATAACGATAATTAGACGATATTTTGCTGAGTGTGTTATTGTGCTGGTACCTTAAGGACTGCCGAAGACAGCTGACTCCTAATGTTTTTAATATTCTTCATATTCTGTGTGGTGGTCAGTTCATACTGATAGAAATTAATCTTTTCCAATAAGTTTAAACTGATTTTTACATTTTATGGGCATTTTTACCTTTTTTAAAGCCATTTTTTCTAAAAGTGTCCATTATCTTTTGAGTCAAATTCTTACATTTAATCAGGGAATTAGAATAATAAGACATTTGGGCTGTTACCAAGCAAATTAAATCAACACAGAAGCTGCATCTGAAGTGGCATTTAGATGTATTTACACACATGTATTTTGTTTAATGCAAGACATGAATGCATTTAACCTGCAATTACAAATGCATAAATAATGTTTTGATATATAAAAAAAAAACGTTGAATACTGATATTTGAAATGATTTAAAACATGAAAAAAATTTTAAAAAAAGAAAAGAAAGAAAAAGCCGAAATTTGAAATTAAAACCGCCAACAGGTGGCAGCAAATCACTGTTAATAAGTGAGTCATTGCAATTGAACCGAATCATTCAATCATTCAACCAATTCATTCAAGAACGAAACATGTTGCTCAGAGAAACAAAACAGCACTGTGGCTGTATTCCGGATGATTTTTGTTGGCGAAATAGAGCAAAAACAAGCAATATGGTGTCTAAAACGTAAGTCTCTTCTTAATTAACTTATTGTTTATTGAATTCAATGTCACATTTGTAAT